GCGACATATTCCCCCGTCTCGCTCTTGTAGTGGGAAATTTCTTGCATTTTTTGCTGCTCCAGCTCTTGTGGCCCCTGATTTTATATTACTAGGAAGAGAATTAGGGTTGTTCTATTTGAGAACTATTTATAGGTTGTTATTTTCTAGTTTTGAGTCTTTTGTTCTAGTTTATGGTAACTAGAGATTTTTCTTCCTAGTTTTCTCCTATTTAAAGAGTTGTAGCCAATTTTTATACGAATGGTAAATTTGTATCTTGCAGAGAAGATAGTCTCCATCATCCGTACCTCATCATTTTTCTATTCGTCTCATTGTTTTTAGACTGAATAGTAGCCGAACAGCTTCATCCTTCTTCCAAACTTCATTGATTTTGCATATTCTCTTTCTCTTGCCACTTCACAACCTCTCACAACTAAATCCGATCCCTAGACAAATTTTAGGAACCCTAGAATGGTGCCTTTTCATATTAGACCAAAAAATCCTAAATTTTTTTAGAGAGTTCTCTGCCATGTTCATAAACCTAAAATCCACATAACCTAAACTTTCACTAAATGAATACCCTAACGATCTCTACCTCAATCCCAAGCCCTGATCCTAAACATTCAAGTGTTAACCTTTCTATTTCCACTAAAAATCCATCCCACCACCTATAAGATAAACCTAAACCCTCTTGTCAACTTTTGAATAGCAATTCAACATCCGTCAAAACCTTAAGTGAGGAGCAAGTCACTATTTTGTAATGGAGAAACCTTCAATGAAGTGTTCAGAAGCTTATCATAGCGAAAATGCGATGGGAAGTCCTCCAATTGCAAGTAATGCTCGTTAATTTTGAAGGAGACTATACCGAGGAATCACCCACAACAACAATGAGCATCCAAACGGAGGAGAAAAAGAAAACACTTTCACCAAGAATTTTAAAGTGACGAAGGGTTGATGTCATGTCAATTTAGCATTAACTATAAGAGGAAATTTAAGAGATTTTGGATGAGTTTAGTAAATGGCTTGAGATAATGAAACTAATTTACGAGTACAAGAATGTTCCACCTAACAAAAGAGGAAGGCTATCCACCATTAGTTAAGAAGAGTGCTTCCTTATAGTGAAAAAACTTTAACTGTCTATGCCAGCATGAGGAAAAAAAACAAAATCACGACTTGGTCCAAAATGAAAATGGAGATATAGTTCAAAAACTCACCAATAAATTACAAATAAAACAAAATCTTGAGATTTCACAATTTATAGAAAAAAGACCTCTCAGTAGAGTACACTAATGTTAAATGGTGAGCTAGTGGAATTCAAGAATAACACCATAACCTGATATCATAGATGTTTGAGACCGTCCAATCACAATGTGATGCAATTGCAGCTAGGAGTGTAAATAAGCAGAACACGAGCGAGATTGGGCTCAGCTCGTGTTCAACTCGTTAAAAAATACCACTGTTCATGTTCAACTCGTTTAAATTTTGAACACAAAAAATTTGTTCGCGTTCTGCTCATTTGCTTATTGAGCCGAAAACGAGCTGTTCGCAAACAAAAAAACATTTCGACAACCCTATTCATGCATGCAACCATTAAGGGTGTAAACGAGCTGAGCTTGAGCGAGTTCAGACTCGACATGTTAAAAAATATCATTGTTCATGTTCGGCTCGTTCATATATCAAGCTCAAAAAATTTATTTGTATTTGGCTCGCTTGCTTATCGAGCGGAACACGAGCTATTCCCGAAAAATAAGCTATTTTGACAACCCTAATCACATAGTCGTAGGATGTTAAGGGTAGGGCAAGATTTAAATCTTGTTATTTATATTAAAATATTTATTTAAATAGAATTTAATATATTTTTATTCGATTTGTAATTAGTAATTTTAATTGATAATAATCTTTGTAGCGTTGTTATATGACATTAAATAGGACGCAATGGAGAAAAAGGATTCATGTAGCTCATCCCACTTAGTGGGATAAAGGTTTTGTCATTTTTGTTGTTGTATAAAACTTTGTAGCGTTGAAGTCAATTAAATTATTTAACAATGATACTCATTATATATATATATATATACATATATATATATATATATATAATTATTTCGAACCAAAAGGAGTAGAACATAGAAGAATAAAACCTTATTCATCTTTGGCTCGTTCATATATCGAGCGCAAAAAAATTAATTGTGTTCGGCTCGTTTGCTTAGAGAACGAAACGAGTAGGAGCAATTTAACGAATTAAACACGAGTTGTTTGTAGACAAGGAACCGTTTCGACAACCCAAGTTGCAGCCCTACTGGATATTAGAAGGTATTAGACCTTAACCCTTAAAGCACATAAACAACACAGTAGTATCAAGTCGACACTACCCTTCAAATAAGGATCAACCATTGGATCAAGCAATAGTACACCAACCAGAATGCCCAAACCTATCCCTCGTGAGGAGAAGCCAACACATGAAGAAAAGATGACTGATCACACTAACACCCATAAAATATTTCAATTATGATGGACACAAGCACATTGCATCAAACTACACGAACAAGAAATTGATTTCTTTTATTAAGGTGTAATGGAGAAGGCACATAGTGATACCTAAGGGAAGAGGAGATAAGAGAGTACCAATTACTTGCAGATATTGGTGAGACATTTGTGGTTCGACGAGTTTTTCAAAGTAAGCCTAAGAGAGATCGGCAACGACTTAGACAAAAGATCTTTTGTCCATGTTGCACTGTCAAAGGGAGAAGTGTGATCTCATTATAAATGGATGCAATTGTGAGATATAATATAAGCATTCATAATCATATTCCCTTATTTGGTTGAAAAAAGAAAATGCAATTAGTATTGATAAGAGACCTCTGATAAAATTTTCAATTGAATATAAGTTGTAAGATCACGAGTGGCATGAATCTTGCCTATGGATATGTCACATTCATTTGGGCCAACCATGAAAATGAGATAGAAGTACGCTTCATGATAATCACAAAAAATATATACTAATTATCAAGCACGACAAGTGCTATTGTATTTGTCATTGAAGTAACAATGATGCATACTCTGATAAAGACAAAAAATACACTTCCTCGTTATATATTTTAATAGGCTATAAGAGAGATCTCAATAGAACTAACATTAGTGACACTATAAGAAATGATACAACGGAGCCAGTACCTGAGAGTGTGATTCTGATAAAACTTTCAGAATGTGTTGATTGATAGCCTACCACTTAAATTACCACCCTTCTGAGAGATTCAAAATATTATAGGCCTCATTTCAAAATCAGTGCTTCTCAACTGATAAGCCTATAAGATGCAATCAACTGAGTACAAGCTGTAGAAGTAAATAACAAACTTGATGACTAGACGATTGGTGCATCAGAGTACAAGCCCATGCGTAATTCTAACTCTGATTCTATCAGAGGATGATGGTTCTTAATACGTGTATAGATAAAAATGTCGTGAACAAAATTACATTAAATACTGATTTTCAATTTTGGGAACGAACAATTGGTTTGATCAATTACATGGAGCAAGTTTCTTCCTTAAGGTTGATTTACGCATTTGTTATCAGCAGACCAGGAAGAGACCAGGAGATAGTGAAAAATAACAATTAAAACAAAAGATGGATTGTATGAGTGAATGTCCATGCTATTTGGCTTGTACGATGCTACGAATACCATTATGAGGTTGATGAACCATATCTTCCAAGCTTTTATTAAAATGTTTATGGTCATAAATTTTGATAATATTCTGGTATATAGTCGTTAAGACGATCAACACTTACATCATCAACAATAGGTGTTTGAAGTTCTCTGAACACAGAAATTGCACAATCATCTAAAGAAGTATTATTTTATTACGCCACAGACATGCTTTCAAGGGTGTATTTTCTTGCTGCCTGTATTGAGATGAACCTAGTGAAGATCGATGTTATTGTGTCCCGAACAAGGCTGCCATTTACTCCGATTTTCCAATTTCATGGACTGGCTTTCTTTATAGCAGATTTATTAGGAATTATAACTCAAACATGAAACCTTTTATGAAGTTTCTAAAATCAAATAGATTTTCTTGGACAAATAAGGAACAAACTTGTTTTGATGTTATAAAACAAAATGTTACTCAGATCCTTATTTAGCATTACCATATTGCAATCAAATGTTCATGAAAGTAAGCCTCAAATTTGAGAAATTAAGCGGATAACCTATTAATTTATTCAGTAAAAAATAAATGATTCTAAGGGAAAGTTTTATACCTATGATAAGAAAGTTTGTCATTATGAAAGCCTTCAATCACTGGAGTCATTATCTGATGGCAAACAACTTTACTCTCTATACTGACCCCGAGGTCTAAGATGCTTAAATAGCCATAGAATGCTAAAGGACAACACATAATATAACTGAAACTTTTCTTTTCATTCCATTTTTTGCTCAAGTACAACGTATGGAGTCATAACAAAATAGAAAATGCACAAAATCTTTGTCACTTGTTGATCACTACTATACAATCAAGGTTAGTTGATATGTCATTAATAAGAATTTTCAAGAGACTTAGGGTCTATTTGAGGCAGTTGTTGATTATTTATAATCGGCTGATAAGTAGATTATTCTAATAATCTGATAATCTGTAGAATATCAGAATAAGCTGGCTTGCTGTTTGAGACAGTTTATTCAGAATAGCTTACTGAGAGCTGTTGTTAGATAAATGACCATTTTACCCCTGTTTAGTTGAGTTGTTTGCAACAAAGCTGTATAGATAAAACAGATGTCTCGAACTATTACAGTTTAGTTACAAAAATTAAAATACAATGCTCACAATTTTGTGAGTATAAGAATTTTCAAGAGACATAGGGTCTGTTTGAGGCAGCTGTTGATTATTTATAATCAACTGATAAGCAGATTATTCTAATAATCTGATAATCTGCAGATTATCAGAATAAGCTGACTTGCTGTTTGAGACAGTTTATTCAGAATAGCTTACTGGGAGTTGTTGTGGATAAATGACAATTTTACCCCTGTTTGGTTGAGCTGTTTGCAACAGAACTGTATATGGACAATAATAAATAAAACAGATGTCTCGAACTATTACAGTTTAGTTACAAAAATTAAAATACAATGCTCACAATTTCGTGAGTAAAAAAAAAGAAATATAATTACAATTAAGAGTAAACAAATTAAAATGTTCAATTTAAAACTCTGACGTCGTCTGTCCTCAGTGGCACTGTCCTCTTGGGAAACCATCGTACCACGATCACAGTCGACATAGGAGTATGTCGGAATGTCGGCCCAACGAAAGAAATCACATCATGTTAAAACACCCATCTGACAACTGTAGAACTGTCTCCCACTGCTATGAAGCTGGCGTGACGTGAGTAAGGGAGCTGGTAGTTCGCAGTAACACAACACAACTCGGGAGGTCCCTGAAATCCTAGAGTTCATGTTGCTACTGAGATAAAACAACCAAAAAGGATCATTTGTCATATCATAAAAATAAATTAAGCTTTATATATGAGAACCGAAATAAAGGAAAATCGGTTCGAACGAAATACGCATTTAAAAAAAAAGTGACAGTGCGGTCTCAGACTAGTAACTACTCCAACCTACGTGTCTGTCACAGAATGGCGACAGTGGGCCTTCAAAAAAATGAGTTCTTGGTTGCCTTTAACCCACAAGGACGATCATCCTGTGCCAGATGTGTATATCACCAAAAAAAGACCATCAGATAAATCCTCATAAGCGGATGCACCAAAAACAATGAAGGATATCGGTTGCATTCTTTAGGAATACACATTCAACACAAGATAAGAACACTAAATCGGCCATCTCACTTGAGTTGAATGCATGTTTTCCAGTCGTGACAACCACCTTAAACATAATGTCGAGTTTTTCTTCGAACTCCGGCTCAATTCCGCACTGCCTATATTTCTTGGCGGTTGGCATGGCCTGTATCATTATATGGAAAGAGAGGGGTTTAGTCAATAACCAAAAAATACAAGAATCAAAATGAGAGTGCAGTTATTACCTTCAATTTCTCAATCCATCATTCATTCAGAGCATCGATAGTTCAGTTAACAGGATCCCAACTCAGCCCGATGGATCCACTTTTCAGCTCCTTCCAAATTTTCCACTCTTTCAATTGATCACATTTATTTTTAAATTTGAGCTGCTGTAATCCCTTCCCGTCAATTCTTTGAATTTTTTTTGTAATATTTTGCCGATCTTCCTTGTTGAACTACGTGATTGGTCTATTTCCGATTTCATTTTTTATAATATAGAGATTGCAGAAAATATTTGTAACTTCTTTATCCCAAATAGCTGACGGTCCACCTTCATTCGTCTTAGCCATGTTGGAACTAGAGGAGGAATTTATGGTTAAACAGAGTAACTCAACATGTAATATCGTGTTAAAACATTGTACAATAAAACCAAAGTGGGGCAAAAAGGTTCTTATCCACTAATAATACAATCAACAATAATAAAAACAAAACACTTTTTATTTCTGTAAAGAACAATTTAAAAAGGGTAGTAGGGCTATAGCTGTTACTGTCAAACTAACATTTAAAAAAGCTGCTCCAATATTCCAAAAAACTAGCATAAACTCCAATATTCCAAGACCTGCATAATCCTCAAAACCAAAACCTATTCCAAAGAACCATCCGAGCCAAGAGAACGATCCAGACATCCAAACCAACCACAAGAAACTAGCGGCCCCCTTAAAACAAGCAGGTGAAGTAAAAATAGCAAAATTACGACCCATAATGGAGGGCCAAAAAGTAACCTGCATCAAAAAGATGCAGCATATATGTATATCCTCGAATGGAGAAAAAGCTCCTTACAGCAATTGTTTCAAAATAGCACATCAAACCAATGTAGATAACACAGTGTTAGAGAAAAGCCAAAGCTGCTTGAAAATATAAGAGAATACAGGCAAAACTGCTCGATAAAATCAAAGCATTTTGGGAAACCTGCGCAACTCAAGAAAGCTGGAAGAAGCTTGTATAAAGCATCTATGAAATATATCCAGAACTCCAATCCAGCAATATGTAAAGGCCCATAAATCCGTCCAACGCATGCAAACACATGCTCCTAGATAAGCATAAATGAGCAACTAAAGAAACGAAATAATAGAGAATAGAGGGCAGAGTGTAGCAACCATTTGCACTGTTAGATTCAGCATCAAAGTAAGCCCCATTCCAGTTAACAGGGGGTGCCCAGGGTGCATATACAAGGGGGTGCATGGCTTTACAAGCCAGTGAACAGGAGAGTTACCGTCCAAAAATATGAAACTCATTTGCACTGTTAGATTCAGCATCAAAGGAACCCAAAAAACCCCATAGAAATGTACCAAACAACATTACCAAGCTTTCCCCACTATATATTGCAAAGCACAAGGACAATATAAGAGCAGAAATAAAACTATATGTAAATGCCCCAAGCATTATAAACAAGTAAAATATAAGAGCTTTCATTACTGACCTCCCAAGCATTATAAACAATTCCGCATATATGCAATATCTCTGACAAGTATGTAAATGCCCCACTATAGATAGCTACAATTCCGCATAAATGGATCTAGACAGCATTCAAAGCATTCAAATAATGCCCAATGCCCCATTCCAAAGATAGCTTGCAACTCATCTCAACACCTGCCATATACATAGGACTCCAAGGCCAACAAATTCCCCATTATACAACTAAAGAGCTTTTTCAAAGAATTGTGTGTTTTGTATGTAAATGCCCCATTATAGAGTGGTATGTATGTAAATCCCCATTATATTTTCTTGTCACAGTGAATAGGATTTGAATAGGAAATGAAGTGGCAAGTACGTAAATCCCCCTTATATTTCTCTCTAAAAATCACAAGAATTGAAAATATTCCCATGCATTCCAATCCGAAAATAGATCACAAGCATTCCAAAATTCCAATATTGCAATTCCAACATTTCGAACCATGAAATTTTATCATAGGAATAGGAATAAGAAAGTAGTTACTTCAAAATTCATTAATTTTGTTTAGCCCTTTCTTCTTTCAATAGGAAAAGTAAATATTCACAAAATAATATAACAGTTGAAGTGTGATCATCCAAATGTATGAGCAGTAGTTACTGCAACTTTATCAAGCAAAATATTGAAAAGTTATGTTCAGATCACTCATCCAAACCGTCAGAAGGTAAAATATAAAAAACCACCCATTCAAAAATTTAGATCTAGCATCCAACATTCCGTAAAAACTGCATCTAACCTCCAAAACATGCAATGATGCATCCAAACAAAAATGCAACAAGGCACAAGTGAAGGGTCGAAAGCATACCTCATTTGAGGCGGGAAAATAGGGTTTCGTTAGGAGGGGTACGACAAGGGAGAGCACATGTTGGAATGTTACCTAATTTGTGTCGAACGCCGAGAGGAAGAAGAAGCTGAGTGTGAGGGTGAGGACGAGGGGAGCAGAGAGGGGCACGGGAGGAATTTCTTCAACCTAACACACGAAGCTAACGCCGGACGCAGCAAGGTCCCAGCTTGCGAATCTATTAACATTATTTTCCAACTGTGTCGGAGTGGCACAAAAAAGTTGGTGTGAACGTGTTTTCCAAACACGACAGCGGCGTTTTCATACCGCTACCGCGCCCAATAAGCTACCCCAAACGCGCCCTTAGACTCATTGTCAGGATACATCGTATAAGCAGTATTACAAACTCAATGGATATTGATTCTTCCAGAATAAACTATACATTCCTTGAGGTTCACTCCGAGAGCATGTTACAAATAGAAAGATAACAAAACATTTTGGTAGAGATAAGAATTTCCTAAGTGAAAAAATTTACTGACCCAATTTGGTACAAGATGTGAAGAAACATGTCAATCAATGCATATTATATCCTTGACTAAAACTCGAGGATAGAATACAACCCTATACACGCCCCTTCCCATTACAAAAGGCACCATAATTCGACATAAGCATGGATTTTATGGTGAGCTTGCACGGGCGCAGTAAAGTAAGGATTATGTTATGATACCAGTAAACCGTTCATGAAGATACATTTATTTCTTACTACAAGACCACCGGCACATCACATAGTGCAGTCCTATACTTTGGGGAGAGTTTGTCTTCATGACATACCCTAGACCATCTTTATGAATAGAAATGTGAAATTTCTAAACCATTTTTAGAATGGGGGCATAAAATTTTAGTTCAATTCAATAGCTCACCCAAAGAAAAAATTGGAAAATACTGGTTGTAAATCAAAATTAGGGAAATCTGACCAAGTGTTTGTTGAGAAAGAACATCAAATAGCGGGATTCATTCTTTCGCAAGTTGAGTTTACCTACAACTAATCCACTAGTCAATCCATAAGTCACAACATATTTGAGATTGCATATGACCAAAATTCTCTTAACTCCATTGAAGTTGGTGCTAATGCTTACAACTACCACGGATGTAGAGGTTAGAATTAGAGAGATTCACGCCTCATATGAGCAAGTGATGACAGAAATTGCAAAGTAAAATGCTAAATATTAGAAGCAAGTAAACAAGTTTAGGAAAACCCAAGTCTTTAGAGAAAATGACTAAGCATAGATTAGATTGAAAGGGTCTATGGATTTAATAAAAAACTAAACCAAAATCAGATGGTTTATTTAGAGTCATCAAGAAGATTAATGATTGCTTATAAAACTGATTTGTCCGAGGATTATAATATTTCTGTCATGTTCAATATTAATGAAATGTCATGATACTAAGACACTTCTAGTGATTGAATCGCGCCCCAATCAAACGTGGGAAAAAGAATCCCACATACTGCTACTGTAGCGAGAAATTTCTAGTTGTTTTGGCTATTCAGGTCTTGTGGGCTCTTAATTTTATATTACTAGAAAATAAAATTAGGGTATTTTATTTGAAAACAATTTATATGTTGTTATTTTCTGATTTACAAATTATTTTTTTTTATGTTATTTGGAAAAATTTCTCCCTGTTTTTGGTCTATTTGGATAGATGTAACTTAATTTTCTTCAAGTAGTGAATTTATATCTTGAAGATAATAGGTAGTGGAGCTTCCCTATCATCCGTAGCTCAGTGTTATGTTGTTTGCCTCTCTGTTTTCAAATTGGACAGCCGCCAAACTGCTTCAGCCTCCTTCCAAACTCCATTGATTTCGTATGTTCACTTCCTCTTACCACTTCACAACTTCTGCCCACAAAGTCCGATTCTTAAACACCTTAAAATTTTAGAACGGTGTCAAAGCACACTGTTCCTCCAACAGATATGACAGTTGTCCATGTATCTTCCTGAATTCCTAGTGTTCTCTACGCCACACTAAGTTTCCAGCCATACAACCGAATGACCAATTTTTAGCAAATTATACCTGCAATTTGTATTGTACCTTGGTTCCAGCATGATACGGCTTTTTTTAGTACTACTGCAATTGGCTCACTAACTTCAGAATATACTAGAAGTGGAGAGGAATCTTTTGCTTATATGGACCTTTAAATCCATATTTTCTGCAAAAGGTGAAACATTTTGGTAGTTATTTACCAATATTTTAACATTAAAAGCTAGTAAATGCACTCCAAAATGCTATATAAACCTGTAGCATAAGTTAATAATAATAAATACCAATCGCGCAATACATTATTATAAAATGGATTTTAATAATCATTAATCAAGAAATCAAAAATCTATTTATTTCTTGAGCATGCACTTGAAAAAATAAAAACTATCATGATTAAAGCCACTGAAATTTCTGCAGCATTAGTCCAAACAAAAAGTAAGAATACTCTATCAGTAAAATTGCAGGAAGATGAAAAGTAGCTACGGACTAGCAAGAAATCCAATAAATTACCTGGTATATTATCTCATTTAGCTCATCTTTAAGAAGACTTACAAACAGTTCTGTTAATACGCAAGTCCTTAGACTGCTATAACCATCCTTCAGAGTAATCAAGAAATAAGCATTTACCCTAGGAACATTGAAAGTCAGGTCAATTTTGTGCCATAATTTTATAAACGGGTTGTCGATGATGCATTTTGGATAATTTTTATCAATTGAATTATGCAATATTTTTGCATTGCGAAGAGAGAAGTCCTCAGGAATAAACTCATTCTTCAAAGGTAAGTGCAGAGATGGATCTATTTGGGGAGGATCGCCCCAAATTTCAAGAATGGATGAGGGGATGTCTTCCTCGACATATGATGTTCCAAACCATGGTTCACATAGGCCGCCTGAGATTCAAAAACATATGCATCAGCATTCACTAGAACCATAACTTCACCAATAAGTGAGATATTAACAAAAAAAAAAAAAAAAAAAAAAAAAAAAAACGTATACTACACACATGAATCGGCTAATCAAATTTGAAAATGTAGTAATGATCATAGGAAAACAAGGAATGGTAGGGTCAATTGACTTATTATGGCAACAACATGACGTTCGATTCAAAAATTTGTCCACTTGAAACATTCTTCAGAAGAATTAAACGAGAACAATAAGCATAACTCAAGAATCACGCATAACATCATTCTTGCTAAGCATTACAAAGAAAAGATTTAAATTTTTTACTTATGTGATACGTCATTCTTTGGCAAATAAATCCAAATTTAATGTCCAACTTGAAACATAACATAAAAAATAACAAAATACGATGATAATAATTTGTTAGATTGCTATTCTCCATAACACTTCACAGTTTGACTTATTGCAAAGTAAACCAATAAAGACACATCTGCTGGCAAGGGTCAGAAGGACACCTACCAGCAACAGCCATTCAATTAAGGAAAAGTTTTCTAAAAGATAGGTTCTCTGAATCAAGCTGTATTGGTTATTTGAAATGTGGCAGGTTGGATGTGATGAAGATAAGTGTCTAAATCTTCAAATTGTGGAGAGATGTATCAAAATGTTAACAGAGAAAGCAAACATAAATTTTCTGCAGGTCTCCCGAAAGGAAAGAGGTCTTTGCTTCTTGAATATTTCAACTTACTCTGACATTCTCACTTTTCCACTTCTGATCTTTTACTGCTACACTTTCAACTCTCCCACACCATTGTGGTTTTTTTTTCATCTGTATCCTCCACTAATTTTCTATTACACTTTAGGCCCTCTTAATCCACAACTTCTTATACCCAATCTATAAAATGTACTCAAAGAAGAACTATCATTTTTAGAGAAAAATGAGGGCAAAGGGAAAAAATAAGTGGTTTGTAGGATTAGTAAGAGCTTCAATAGTTTTTATGAGATTTAATTTTCTTCATTTTCCTGTAATTTTTTAGGGGTTATGGTAAGTTTTACGACTTTGAGACCAACTTTTAGGCCTTATTTAATTTAAATCAAGTCATAGAGGACCACTAACGTGGTAAAATATTAGGAAAACAAAAAGGATCTGTATTGTCCGGAAAATGCCACCTTACCGAACCAGGATAAATCGTCTTCGGAGTCGCACAAACAAAGATTCCCCCTTTTGGTAGACCACCTTGCTCCAGTTGGTCGTCCCCCTCAGGTCGGACACCAAACTCCTCGAGTCGGCCATCTGCTGCGCAGATCGACCACCTAACTCAGCGAGTTGGCCACCGGCTCTTCAGATCAGCCACCCAGCCCCTCGGGTCGGCCTCCTTGGGTTGGCCTCCATGGGTTGGCCACCCAGCTCCAGCCAGCCACCCAATCATCGATGTACTCTAATGCTTTAGAATGATAAAAAGACCAAAATACCTTGTACTGCACTCCTTAAAGCAAGGGCACTTTTCAAATATTATGTTTCTCTATTATCCTCTTTTGTAAATAGAGGACCCTTGGCAGGTGTAAAAGGTCGAAGTCTCTCTCTCTCTCAACCCCCATGTAAAAGGGAACTCTTCCGTTCATCCTACTTATAAACTTTGGGTTGTGTGGAATAAAAAGATGCAAAAGAGTCCAGGAATACCGCTCTTTGCCCCCCCCCCCCCCCCTCTCTCTCTCTCTCTCTCTCTCTCTCTCTCTCTCTCTCTCTCTCTCTTTCTCTCATTATCTTTCAGCTTTTCTCGGATTCAGCGCTCTATTCCTTGGGCACAAGCCAAAGAATAGGTTTGGGTTCAACAGGATCAAAATTCTCTTTCAGATTTGTTTTCTACACCATCCAAAACCGTTATCCCCCAAGCTACATCTTCTTCTTTCCAACTAATTCATTTAACCTATTGTATCCTCTAACAAATATTTGCTCCGTCACATATGCAACCACATTTTAATAGGATTATTTTTTTCATGTTCTCGCATTGGGGGTCATGCAAATAATTTCCGAGACATAGATAGTTATTTATGGTTTTCTCCATATTTGTATTTTATTGGCTTCTAGGGAAATTTTTGCACTGTAGCATAATGTAGATTCTCTATTTAAGAACTATACAAGTTTATTTTTCCATGGTCAATAAAACACTGAGAGATGTGAACCCTTCATTGATCTTCACATTATTATCTACACATTTATTTTAAAGAAAAATTTACATATGTAGAACACAATTTATACATATTTACGCTCACACCTAACATAGGTAGTACTTTAAACCTATGCATGAAAAGATGTATTCTACCTTAAAAATTGGTAAGTGTTATTTTTTATTTGATATTAAAGATTTTAGCACTGTGTAAATATGAAAGTTTAGGTGTGAAATACATAAATGCATGAGAATTATGTATTTAAATGTAAATACCCCTATTATTGAGAAGTATTTACATACATACACACAATTTGTATGTATTTACATATTTAACACCTAAATTTTCATATTTACACATATAGCACAATTTTTTAATATCACATCAAAAATAGCACTATTACGTAATTTTAAAAGTGAAAAACACCATTTCATGCATTGGTTTTTGACACCTAAGTTATAAATGTAATATGAAAGCTTAGGTGCTATCTATGTAAATACAAGAGAATTGTGCGGTATATATGTAAATTTTCCTATTTTTAATAGAAAAGTTAGCTGAGAAGTTTCTACCACCTCAAAGAATTCAATGATCAAGAAAGCTACACACAAGCTTTCATGTAATCTTTACATTATAAAACCTATAAATCCAATAAAAAAGAACATGACTCAAACAATTACAACTTGACCATCCTTCCTTTGCTATTCTCCAAACAATCTTCCATGAATATTAAAAAAAAATAAAGAGAAACGGGCCAAAAAAGGTCCATTAAAAAAGTTATGGGGCTATTTTAGTTACAAATAATAAATATGTTCAATTTAGTCCTTTGACTCTTCAATAGGATCCAAAGTAGTTTCTCTATTGGACTATTTGGGAACATATTTGAGAATTTTAAAGACTAATTTGGATCAAATTTGAAAATTCAAGGGACAACATTGAACAGATTAGACAGTTTGGAGCTAAAATACTTTATAAACAAGCCAGATAAATTTTGAACTTTCTCAAAAATTAATATTATAAAATCTCATTGTGATGCTTATGAGTTAGACAAACACAAAGGTATTAATTTTCTAATAATTGACCCAAGAACCTAACAAACTTCTTTTTCCCGCATTCATAGTGACAATTAGGGCTATGCTCTGCATCAAATATTTTTGGGGCTAAGTAATTTCTGTACTTTATTGATGATGACGCCCAAGTGTAATGGATCTTTTGACAAAAAATGAAGAAGTGATAGATCATTCTCACCATTTTTAATATAATAAAAATCAAATTGATAGTAAAATAAAAACAAAGGATCTAACAATGTCAAAAAATTTCTATCATTCACTCTCTTAATAATTGTAATTAAAAATAATAATACAAAAAGTCATCTAATATGCATAAACCACCACAAAATGAGTTAATTGAACAAAAGTAAAGCCATCTGCTTGTGATACTGAGAAAGTTGTCTTATTGACAAACATCATAAACTGGTTCATAATAAAAGTCATTAGGTTAATGATTCTCGCATGATTCCTACACCAATACTTTACTTGAATACCTTAAAAAACATTTCTCCCAAGAAATTTGAGAGTATTTTTTTTTATAAATACACATCTCTATTTCAGAAACAGCCACTCTTACAAAAACTTGCACCAAACCCACCTTTCAGCTCAGCAATTACAAGTCTCTACAAGAAATGAAAATGCATCTCAATCTACACAATTCCAATTAACTAAATCAATCTCTATTACTAGATCTACTGAGGGAATCATTGAGCCTATATATAAAAGTAGAACTTACACTGAACATCGCTACTATTATCTCTCATACTCATCAATTCTTCATTCCAGTCTACATATTATTTTTATACTTAAATTATCTCTAAGACTTTAAATAATGTGAGTTGAAATAATAATATGAAAGAAAAAATGAAAACTCATAAAAAATGGAAATTAGGATGCTATTAAAAGGAAAGAAACCAATAAGATGCAAACAGATCTTTATTGAATTTGATAGCTCAGTGTAAACATATAAAGAAAAACTAGAGACTAAAGGTTACACTCAAACATGTGAGATGGATTATCCTGAAATCTTTGCTCCAAATGCTAAAATGACATTTTAAAAATCTTTCATCTTTAGTAGTTAATAGGGACTAGAAAATAGAACAAGAATACATTTCTATGTTGACAAATTTTCTATAGAGACCCCTTCAGAATTTTGCTAAGAAAAAGAAATAACTGTATGTAAACTAAAAAAATTCATTGTATAGATTGAAAAAATCTCTAAGGGCATAGTTCAAAAAATTTGCCAAGAAAAAGCTCAAACATGGGATACAAACAAAACTAATGCGGCTATACATTAATTGTGAAGCACACGGCTTCAAGGGAAGGCTCCACAAAAATAGTTTATGCCAACAATATCATGATTATAAAGACTAACAACGAAGTGTAAACTTTCAGCAAAAAGCCACACTAATAATTTGATGTAATAGATTTAGGTAAACTAAAGTATTTTCTTAAAATTCAAGTTGCAAGATCTCCAAAAAACACTTCATATCACAATAAAAATACATAAAAAGCCTATTGAAAGAAACATGTAAGTTGAGATGCAAGCCTATTGAGAGCCCAACAAATTTAATCATATGCTTGAAAATGCGCTCAGAGACATGATAGGCCAAAAAAAAAAGAAAGAAAATCCTCTGAATAAGGATACGTATCTATGAGGTTGTAATATCCAAGTCTCTTATGCATATGGGATTCAGCCAAAATACTCGGGAGTATGATTTGTTAACAAATACTTTAATGTCTATTAAAATAAATTTTCACGTTATTTTGGTCTTTAG